CCACTTTCTTTCTTTTTTAATGCTGCGTAGCTTTCCACTGTGCATAGCCCACGTTTTCCTATCCATACCTTGACCAAGATAGTGCTGCAAGGAGTACAGAGGTCTCTCTGGCGTATGGATTTCCTTTGCATATGTACCCAGTACTGGGATTTCTGATCATATGGTAGTTCTACCTTTAATTTTTTTTTCGGTGCTAGATATTGGACCCAGGGCCTTAGACATGATAGGCAAACCTGAGCTACATCCCAGTCTTTTTAAAATTTTGCTTACCAAGTTACCTAAGCTGGCCTCAAACTTACGATCCTCCTGCCTCAGCCTCCCAAGTGGTCTCTGCACCAGCCAGTTCTATTCTTAATTCTTTGGGGAAGCTCCAGACCGTTTTCCATGTTGGCTGTTGTAGTCGACATTCCCACTAACAGTGGTGCAAGAGTTCCTGTCTCCACCTCCTCACACTTGTTCTCCCTTGTCTTCTTGGTAATGGCCATTCTCAAAAGTGTGACACTGAACGTATGCACATTTACAGTTCCATAAAATTTGACAGACTCATGTCTATGCAACGGCCCCCACCTTGTCCCCCAAATCAAGCTTTAGAGCATTTCTACCACCAGAATGTTCATTCCCTCCTGCCCTCTTAGCCGCCCTCTGTTCTAGGCATCCAGGGCTCGCCTCCAGGCTTGTCCCCAGTGCCGTGGGCCTAGAACCTCATTGGAACGCAGGTGGTGCATCTTCCTGGTTCAGTACTGATGCTGAGGCCCGCGCGTGGCCCGCGGGCAGCAATCCATTCCTTTTCCTTGCTGGACTGTCCCGATTGCTCTCTGGCTTCTCAACCTCAGTGTGGGCTAGGCACAGAGCAGACCCTTCACAGGCTGCCCACAATGTGAAGATAACTCCTGGAGCCAAATGCAGAAAACACCATCCTGTTGGCTGTGGAGGAGGGAGGGTCCCCAGGGCTTGTCTTCCAGTGGGCCAAAATGGAAGCAGGTAGCAGAGAGGCCAATACCAGTTTAGAGCAAGCCATTTGAATCCCTCTCACTTCCTCCTTCTTATTCATAATCAGCACCAAGTCCCAACTGGCCCCTGTTGCCTGAGAGGCCCTGTACTCTCCTTCCATGACCTCACCTCCTCCACCTCCTCCACCTCCACTGCTCCCTCTGCTCAAACACAGAGCTTCTCACTGTCCCTCCACCATGCCAAGTTGGTTGCTGCCTCAGGACCTTTGCACACACTGCTAGAATGCTTCTCCAGCAGACTTTCTACCAAAATGTCACCTCCTCAGAGGGGACCTCCCTGACCAGTGGTTCCAAAGTATCCCTTCTGTCACAGTGTTTTGGTTTTTTTGTAGCATTTGAAAATCTTTGCTTACCTGTTGTCAGTCTCTCCACAAAATGATGCAAAGTTCCTGGTCTCTTATTCTTCCTGGGAACTCAACATGTACAATAATGCCTGATGCGTAGCAGATGCCATAGATACACACTGCTGTGGAACGGGATCCCCCCCACCAAAACCGAGGTGCTTATAGCAACTGTCATGTATCTTTCTTGGGTTCCTGAAGACGGGAAGGGCGAGGCTGGGCAATCCTCTCAGGGCTGTGGCAGAAACAGCTGGAGGCTGGCTGGGATCTGGCTGGAAGCTAGCCTTGCTCTCGCTCCCATGCTCCCATCCAACATGGCAGGCTCAGGGCAGCTGGAGGGCTCCTGTGATCCTGGAAGCTTTACGAACTGTTCCCAGGAAGCCAGGGGAAGTTGCGCCCAGCCCCTGATTAATGGCCTAGCCCCACAAGTTCCAGTGTCATTTCCCCATGCTGGCGACTGACAAGCCCACCCACATTCAAGAGAAGGGGAGATTCCCGCTCCTGGATGGGAGCAGGGACAAAGAATTTGGGTCACATTTTAAACCACCAGTTGGCAACTAACAGATATTTGCTTAAGTGAATGTTGGCTCATCTGAGAGGAGACCAGATAAAAACGGAAGGCCTGCGGGGCTTGAGGCAGGCAGGGACAGCACCTGTGAGCGCGTGAACTCAGTGGACACTCGGTTGGCCTGTCGGGCTGATAGGGTTTGCATCTCGGCGTCCTTTGAAAGCCACCATTAGAACATATTTAGCAAGTGATGACATGTTGCTGGGACTTTTCCAAAGTGTGGGGTGGATGTGGTGCACGACAAGACTTTAGGGGACATGCAGACATGACATTAAATGACAGATTACATGGATCACAGGCATCACACCGTCAATTTCTTTCAGTCCCCATCACAGCAAGCAGAGTTTCTCTCAGTGATGACGTGCTCCTAATGCCCCTAGGACACCCTGCTAATCTCCCTTCACAGTGAACAAACGCAGGCTTTGGGCTTAGCACTGGGCCGGCCAGAGTACCTGCGCGAGCTGAAGGACACCCTTCCTCTTCTTGTTTATTTTTATGATCTCTATTCAGGGCTCAGTGGTTTTCTATTTAAAATGTGATACAAAGTGTCTATGTAATGTAAATTAGGACAAAAGAAAAAATACTGAAGGCTTCCCAGATCCTGCAGACCGGGAAGACCCACCGGTGGGGGGGGGACCCGCTGGGGGACACGAGGACCCGACCTGACTCCAGGTCCTTTCCAGCACTGATGTCCAAGCTCTTCCTGGGCAACCTGCAGTTTAAGGACTGTGACTTGTGCCTGCAGCTTGTTGGCAAACTCTAGGGAGCAGAGTCTAGTCTAGTCTTAGAAAATGTGTTTGAGGGAACTGTTGAGGATACTAAGTACCCCAACCCTGATGGCAGGCAAGAATAAAAAAGAATCCCTGTGGCACTTTATGAGCCCTCTGAGCAGTGCTCCTGGGTACCTTGTTAAAATGCAGATTGACTTGGGTTTGGGGTGGGGCTTGAGATTCTGGATTTCCATAAGCTTCAGTGAGGAGTGACACTAATGCTGGTGGCCTGGGGACAACACTAGAAGCAGCAGGTTCTCACTTACCTATGGTGACATCACATCAGTAGCTGAAAACAGGACATGGCTGAAGTACACCAAGAAAACCAGCAAACATTACACACCAGGGCTCAATTTATTTTATCGATGGCTGCCAAGACTTAAGAAAGTGATGGAAAATATCAGTAAAAACTTTCAACAAACCGTGCACGGGCACGCACTGCACACATCCTCCAGAGCCAACGCAGAAAAAGCGTGGCTGCTGCGGAAGCCGGGGAGGCAAAGCTGTGGGAGACCATGGCAGAGGTGGGCGTGAGGCCTCCCAGATACAGCTAGTGCCCTGGACGAGAGATTGGCAGTTTTTCTGTCAAGACCTAAATTTAAAATATGGTAAAAGGCTGGTGGCAGTGGCACACCTTTAATGCTAGGGACTCAGGAAACTGAGGCAGGAAGACCACAATTTGAAGATAGTCTCAGCAACCTGGCCAGGCCCTAAGCAACCTGGTGAGACTGTCTTAAATTGAAAAAAGAGGGGTTGAGGATGTGGCTCAGTGGTAAAGCACCCCTGGGCTCAACCCCAGGTGCCAAGAAAAAGGTACCAGGCCTTAGCTCTGCTGTGAAGCTCAAAAGCAACCACAGGTACCATAGAAATAAGTGTGGCGATTTTCAAATAAAACTTTACTTACGAACACTGAGATTTAAAGTTCATACAAGCTTTGATTTCGTGAAGCCTCACTCTTCCGTTGCCTTTCCCTAACCTGTCCAATATCACATTCTTAGCTGGCAGGCCATGTTGGGTCCGCAGGTGGAAGGATGGGCCTAAAAAGGGCCAGCTGGGGCTCAACGTGGATGAGACCCAGGCAGAGAGGTCAGCAAACGCAGAGATGCGCAGGCGCGGTGAGTTTGGGGTACACAGGGATGGGGAGACCTGTGCGGCTGAAGGCAGGAGAGAGGCGGAGCGAGGCCCGGCGCGGGACCAAACGCAAGGCCTTCATAATCCTGAATTTCCAGGCTCAAGCAAAAGCCCTCTGAAACCACTGGGAAGGGATGCCCCTTCATATTTATGTTTTTTTTGTTTTTGTTTTTTTTTAAGGAAGGAGTTTTTTAACACCTTTATTCTACTTATTCATTTGTATGTGGTGCTGAGGATCGAACCCGGGGCCTCACGTGTGCTAGGCGAGCGCTCTACCGCTGAGCCGCAACCCAGCCCCTCTTTATGTTTTTAAAATCTCCCTCGTCCTGGGCCGCGTGCAGAACAGACCCCGGGCTTCATTACTACGAAAGGACGGAGGAGAAGGCTGCTCAGTGCCCCAGAAGAGCCCCAGGCCGGACAGCCACGCGGGGAGAGCAGGTGGACCTGGGCTGTACTTTAGCCCAAAAGACTGCTGAGACAGGGAGCAGGCAAGCAGGGGCAGACCCTGGGTGTCCCCTCTCCCCAAGTTCCTGGGGGTGGTCACATCTTGACGTGGCTCATGGTAGAGCTCTTGCCCGGCATCCTACGTGGAGCCAACTGCAATTCCAAACGAAGGCGCAGACCGTCCGCAGACGGGGCAGTTCGGCCGCTTCACAGCTGCAGAGCCTTGGTGCCCGGCTTGGCGCCAGCGTCCCGGGGCGTCCCTTCCCGTGGGTCGCGGGAATCAAAGGTCTTGTCCCCGACCCAGGCGACACCTGCGGGCTAGGGCTGCGCGCCCCTCTCACCCGCGACGGGCCCGCCCCCAGGTCGGTGCTCCTGCACCGCGGCGAGGAGCGAGATCAGGCTCCGCGCCTGCGCCGGTGGAAAGTCCCTCGGGCCGAGGATTCACCTAGAGGAAGGCCGCGGCCGCTGCGCACCAGACCCGCAAGCTCTCCTGCCGCTTCGGACCCCAGGATCACCACCGGGTAGCGCAACCACGGGACCACCGCTGGGACCGCCGTGCCGTAAACGCGCGCTGCTCCCGCGCGTGCGCGCTCACGTGACCACGCCCCCCTCGTCGGCGGGAAGAAGGCGGGGGGCCGTTAGTGCGCAGGCGCGTGCTGGGAGCGAGAGTAGGAGCTGGACTCGGCGCGCAGCTCAGTGCGCAGGTGCGGGCTGCCCGCCTCGCTGGGAGTCGGCTTATAAAATGCGCACGCGCAGCGGTCTCCGGCAGAAAACTGGCGAGCCTGGGCCGGCGCGGGGCCTTGTGGGAGGGCTTAAGGAAGTAAAATGGCGGACCTGGCGAACGAAGGTAGGGGAGGCGCCGTCGGGGGCCAGCTGGCGGCTGGGGAGCGGGCGGAGGAAGGCTGCGGGGCCACAGGCCCGAGGGCTGGGCGTCCCTGAGTGCGGGCGTCCCGTCCGCTCCGCCCTGGAGGTTCTGGGGCTCCGCAGCCGCCCCCCACTCCGTCTCCTCAGGCCGGCCTCATCCGCCGGCCCATCACTCGCGGCAGCCGCGGTCCTTGCCGCCGTCCGGCCAGAGTCGCCGGGAGGCCGCCGGGGCCGCGGGCCAGAGGCGCTTCCGCCCCGCAGCCCGGCCCGGGGCCGGAAGGGGCGGGAGGCGCGGCCCGGGCCTCGGCCGCGGATGTAAATAGACCTCGGGCCTGGTGGTGGCCCGCGCGCACCACGCTCCCTCCCCGCCCCCTCGCCCGGCACCGGCGTCCCCTGCCCGGCCGGTGGCCGCCACGCCGAGCCCGCAGGGAGCCGGGGCCGTGCTCCCCGCCTGAGCTCCGCACCCGCGTTCCCGCCAGTTCCCGCAGGTCCCTCGGGGCGCCGCGTGTCCCCAGTTAGGCCCGGCCACAGGAGCTGGGCTGCCGAAGCCGGGCTGCTTTTTGCCCCTCCTTTATTTTTTATTTTTTGGCTGCACTTCCAGAGAGCCCTTGTGATTCTCTCCTCTGTGGAGCGCTGACATGCCTCCTGAGCATTTTCGACAAGGTTGCACCTCCAAATCCCCAAGAGGAAGCACTCGATCAGGCTGATGTCTGCCTTCGTCCACGATCGTGTTGCTCTGGCTTGAGGACTTCCGAGGTTCTATTTTTAGCTGTCTCCTTTTCTAGGTGCACAACTGCAGGCAAGCTGTACCTGTCTGGCTCTGGTTCCCCGTGCGATGCTCCCTGCTGTTCTAGGGTGACCTGGGGTTCCCATCCTGACCCGCACTGTGCGCACTGTGCGCGAGTGCTCATAGTAAGTGGTCAGCCTTGGGGCGCATTTGGAGTGGTACAGGGACAGTTATCCCTCCAGTACTCCCAGGAAAGCTCCATGAAGTAGATACTGGTAGTCCCATTCTTTCAGTGAGGATATTGAGTTAGAGTGATTAAGTTACCTACCCAAGTCTGGTCACACAGGAAGGAGCAGGAATGTGAACCAAAGTGATCTGACTTTAGAGCCCTCTGACTTGACCATTTTACACTGAATCTCTTATCTGACAAAGGAGCCCATGGAGGGGAGGTACTCCAACTCATGCGATCCATTTGAAAGGCAGAAATGGGCCTGGATAAATTAACGGGAATCAATATGACTACTCTGTAGAGTTACCTCTTGAGCTCATATAGTTTCTTGAACTGGAGAGCCATGTCTATATTTGACATCTCCATTTGGATATCTAATAGGCACATCTGACATCATGTCCAAAACAAAATCTTTATCCTAGGTTCCTGCTCAGACCTGCCCATACCACAGTCATTGTCCCTTTATACTAAGTGGTAGGTCCATTTTTTGAATTCCTCAGATCGAAAACTTTGAAGTCACCCCTGGTTCCTCCCATAAATCAACAGTAAATCCTATTAGTTATACCTTAAAAGTATTTCCAGAGAGTGATGACATCTCACTACCAACTGGGCCTTCTACTTGGGCTTCCTTTACTACTAATACCTCCCTACTCTTCTCTCTACCACTCTCTCCCTGACTTGCTGTTCTCTGGCTGCTCAAGTTTTCTCAGTATTCTTGAGTGAGCCATGTACTCCCTCCTTTTAGCCTTTTTTCCTAATGGTTCATCTGCCTGCAACTGTTTCCCCCAAATACACCCATGACTTGCTCCTTTATCTCCAGACTTTTACTCATTTATGTAACTTTATTATTAAGAACTTATCTGGCTACCTACCTTAAATTGTGCCCACATTTTCTATTCCCTTTAGCCTGCTTTATTTTATTCTACAGCACTTATCCCCACCCAGCATGCTAGTTTTACCTGGTTGTTTGACTGCCCCTCCACTAGAATATGAGCTCCATGAGGGCAGGAATGTTTGTTATGTTCATTGGTGGAGCTCCTGCATCTAGAACAGCCCTTGGCACAGAGTAGGAGTGCAAAAGATATTTGGTGAATTAATGAGTTGATGAGTTCATTAGTGAGAATCCTTATTGTGAGGATTACCTTTGAGCACAAAGAAAATTATGGTTTGCTGTTTTCCAGGGGTTACTGTTTATTGCATAATACACATACGCTATCCATTATAAGTTGCATATTAAATGGACATATGTAAAATAAATGAATGGAATATTTTGTGCTAAATTTTTTTTTCAATAAATGCCACAGCATTTCATCTTGACACTAGTGACAGACATTCTGAGGAGATCAGGTTTTAGTAGATCTCTGAACCTCAGATATCCCTATCCTTCAATCGGTCTCTGTAATGTTTCTTGAAGATTCCATTTCTGTTTTTAGCATGTATGGCCGCCTAGGATGTTTGATGTCTCATCCACTAGGTAAAGTAGGACTTCCTTGCCAGTGTATTTTGAAACTATGGGGACTGCCTTATAGCCATGCTCTCCTTCTCGCTGTTTAAGCTCCTAACAGCCTCTTCTGCCTTTCCAAGCTGGGAACTTAAGTTGATCCATCCTCATATCCAAGTTCCTCCTCATCCATTCTGTCTCTGTACTCTGGACTTTTCCCATCTGTGTGTCAGTCTGAAGTACTGGCTGTCCAGTCTGGTTGAGTATCAGAATCACCTGGGGAGCTTCTCTTAAAAGTATAGCTACCCAGTTCCCACACCCTATAGATTCTGATCCTGTGAAGGATTTCCAGATGGCCTGAATGTCTGACAGAGAGCAGCACAGGTGACTCTGATATACAGCTAGCTGGTGTTGAGAAGCACTGGTTTCAGCAAATCAGGTTAGCTATGCTGTGTGCAGGGAAACTCACTTGTGCGTCCAGGACTGCATCCTGTTGACTCTTGTTGCATGGTGATCTTCTCTTGAGGAGGCAGCAGTTCTCACATTCCTTTCTTGGTAGTCCTGTGGTCTGTAACTTTAAAAATTTACTTGGAATATGTCTTTCTTAAGGGTGTGTTATGTGTTTTACATTTGAGTCCAAGAATATTACCCCCCCGCCCAGAATTTTCCTCATTGTATCTCCCAAACTTGTTAATCATGCTGTTTCTTGAGTTCTTTTACATTGTGAACTGAGTCAGGTGTTGAAGGCAGAGTTTTCTCCCAGGGTGAGCAAAGTACATTTGAAGCATAGAATATTTTGGAGTCTAGATTTTAGCATTAAAGGTGACATTTTCTTTCTGGCCTATAGACGTGTATTGTATAGTGGAAACCTAGGAGACAGTATAAGGCAAGGTTTTCAACTCTGGCACTGTTGACATTTGGGGCTGGATAAACCTGTTTGGGAGAGGGCTGTCCTGTACATGGCCGTATGTTTGGCAGCATAGTGGTATCCCCAAACCTACTCACTAGATGCTTGTAACACCTCCTACCGCAGGGGTGATGATAACCAAAAATGTCTCCACACCCAGCCTCCCATCCAGTCAGGGGAACAGAGTGCACAACAGCCCCAGCGGAAACTCACTGGTGTAAAGTGACAGTGGCGTGAACTCTGCCCTGCAGAGAACTGGGCTTGTCTTTGGGCTCCACGTGGACGCTCCTGCTGGGAGGCTGGTTTTCTCACAGTGAAATGGGCGTGAAGAGCATCGTGCTCCCTCAAGGTGGCTGTGAGAACTGATGAACTAAGGCACAGGAGGGACTGAGCACGGATCACAGGGACACACTCTCTGAAGTGGCGACTGTTTCCCTGCAGCAAGTTGTGTCTTGCACAGGTGGGGATCAGGTGCCCAGCAAGGCATGGGTCTGAGCAGTGCAGTCGAGTCCACCCCATTCAGATGGCCCCAGGGGAGCCGGGGTGGGACACCAGGAGGAGCGGGCCCTTGGTCTTCCTGAGTCCCTCTGCCTTATGTGACATCCAGGTTGGGGTTTCTCAGCCTCGGCACAGTGGACATCTGAGAGCGGGTCCTTCACTGTGGTGGGGACCCCCTGTACACTCCAGGCTCTTGATCACTACCCGGGCCTCTGCCCACTAGATGGGTGCTCATGGCACATCCTACCTGCATCCAGTTCTGACAGCCGCAATGTCAGCAGACATTTCCCAGTATCCCTTGGGGGTCAAAGTTGTCCTGATCTATCCTGACCAAGTGAGAGTCGGGAGATTTTCAGGGGTGGTTTATCTTTTCTCAGTTGTATCTTTGTTGTTGACTTGGGGGATTAGATGCAACTGAATTTTTAAATTCGAACTCAAATAGTAAAAATTTTCAGTTCACACAATTTTTGTCATCTCCTTTCCTGCTCTAAACATAACTTTTAGAATAAGGAGAAAACAAGTGTTTGAAAATCATCTTGGATTTATGACAAAAGTGAACTCTGGCATTTTTCCTGTGGACTCAGTTGTGCCTTCTGTCTCATCTTTGAAGCAGAGTCGACCTGTGGGTAGGGGTAGCATACGAGGAGAGTCATAACAGCCTGGAGGCCTTTGAAGAAAGTTTAAGTTTTCCCAGGGGACCCATGTGTAGACAAGAGAAGCTTATGGTTCTATAAAACCTTTAACCAAAGCCTGCTTCTTGGATTCCTGGACTGTGGAATGATCTCAGCAGTGTTCCTTGGGCATTCGCTGGCATTAGGGCCAGGCAGGATCAGTGTGCAGAAGCTCTGGGTGTGTGTCTGTGCTCAGCAGGGCTTGGAGTGAGTGGAGGCAGCAAGTGTCATTCCACATGAGCTTGGAATGGAGCTTGGAGGAGAGCCAGTTGTTTGGAGCTGGGAAGGGAACACTTAGGTACAGGTTGAATGCTGGCCTAGTGAGTTTAGACACAATATAGGCCTGGGATAAGAGAAGTGAGATTGGTTGCATTGTCGGGGCACCTGAGAAGGGAACACAATAAGGACGACGCAAGAAAGGCAGAAGTGGCCAGTGTTGACTTTGCTGTAGTTTCGGCAGCTCTCCATGGTACTTTAAAGCAGCCTTGAGGCAAATGGGTTTGCATCACT